GTGACGCATGTGGCTAGAGTCAGCGTAAAGTTCTGACTGAATGAAAATGATAACCTATTTATGTCACGTTAACGAAGAACAGAGGGTGAAGATGGTGCCAGATTTCAGGTTCCTTGGCACCTACATCAGTTTATAATAAACTGGGGGAAACCCTGCTACATCTGCTCTGCCCCAGTGCTCTCCCCCAGTACATCCTCCTTGCCAGTAGGTGCAACATGGCCCCCTTCCCTCACTCTATCCCATACCAGCCCCCTGACCCAACCTCCTTCTCCAAGGCAGCTTAGTTGCCCCTCTCGTTTCTTTCCCTCCAAACAGCCTCTTCCACGCTAAACGGCTGATCAGGTGAGGGCAGAATTGAGGAAGCTTCTTCCCCAAAATGGTGCAGGATCCGAGAGAGTATCCCCTGGTTTCTGAAGATCTGTGCTACCAAGCTCAGGGGACCATTACAACAAGTCTTCAACCTGAGCCTGCAACTTGGGAGCATGCTCACAGTCTGGACGACATCATGCATCATTCCTGTCCCTAAGAAGAGCAGACCCAGTGAGCTGAATGACTGCAGACCGGTGGCACTCACATTACATCCGATGAAGACTCTGGAGAGGCTCTTCCTCAACCACATCAGAATGCAGGTAAAGGACGCTAAAGACCCCCTGCAGTTTGCCCACCGGGCACAGATCAGAGTGGAGGATGCCATTATCTACATCCTACATTGAGACCCTCTGGACGTGGGAAGTGGCAACGTCAGGATCCTCTTCCTGGATTTTTCAAGTGCTGTTAGTACAATCCAGACCCCTGCACTTTTGGAAAAACTTAATAGAATGAGATTGGACTCCTGCCTGGTCATCTGAATTTCCAGCTACCTCACAGTTTGTCAGGATGAATAACATCATGTCTGACACTGTGGTCAACAACACTGGAACCCCGCAGGGCAGGTTGCTGTCACCCATCCTCTTCACCCTGTACACCTGTCTTCTGTTATAACTCTGAAACATGTACGCTGATGACACTGCCATCGTGGGGTGCATCAAAGACAACAAAGTGGAGTACAGGAGCCTGGTGAGAAACTTTGTTGTCTCGTTCCATAGAAACGGCCTACAGCTAAACACTTCCAAGATGAAGAAACTGGTTATTGACCTCAGGAGGCACAGAGGGAGTCCACAACCAGCTCTGATAGGAGGGGAACAAGTGGAGGTCATGCAGACCTATAAATATCTTGGCCTGTAGGGCTGGTCAACAATCTGGCCTGGACAAGCAACACAAAGCAGCTGTATAAGAAGGCCCAGGAGGCTGAGATCCATTAACATCTGTGGAAAGCTGCTCGGGTTACTTTACCAGTCTGTTTTCGCCAGCATCTTGTTGTAAGCTGTGGTGGTAGTGTCTCTTAAGACCTTTCCAAGCTGGAGAAACAAATTAGACTGGCTCAGTGGTCGATACAAGGCACTGAGCCTTCCATCTACTTGATGAGAGTCCACTCTCTGGCAACAGTGGCAGAGAGGAGAACATTACAGAAACTCCAGGCTATTATAGACAACGCCAGTCACCCTCTGCACACTGTCACCAGCAGCCAGGAAAGCAGAGTCAGTGGGAGACTGCTTCTTCCAAAGTGCAGGACCAGCAGACTGAGAAACTTCTTTGTCCCTCGTGCAAATAAACTCTTTAACTCCTGGTTACCAAGGTTACCTAACCCCTTATTGGGGCTAGGTAACCTTGAGAGCTACTAGGTTAATTGCCTTAATAATTGAAAAGGGTGATAACTTTTGGACTGTAGGCAGTCAGAGGCTAGACGAGTCCTCCCGCCACCAGCATAAATAGAATGCTTTCTAGACTATCCATGGAGTAAAAGCCCTAGGAACTAGAGACTTTCCCAACTCATTAACTGGAGAGCTGGTCAATAGTCAGTCTGTGAGGTTTGAGAGGGTTTAGGTGGGGCTGGGTATTGTGCAATAACAGACAACACTCATAAAAGTTTTGGCATCCTGATTAAGTTTGATGCTTCTAAAAACAGGATTATTAGGATAAAATGATGAAACATGATTTTAATTCGATACTCCTCACTGGAGGTTGGAAGGAGAGCTAACAGGAGTACAACAGAAAGAGGAACTATGCGATCAAGCTGTTAATGTACTTTAGAAAAAAATGTCTATCTTATTCATGCACAATGACATTAAAAATAATTCTGATGCTGGAACTGCTTTATACCAGATGGTTTTCTTTTAAAACTTGTACTTACTTTTTCCTCCCTATCATTGATGTACATTTCAGTGTATCAGAACTTACTGCAAATGTAATGAAAAGAGAGAGACAGTTCTCCAATGTTTTTGGTTGCTTTATTAAATCTCACTGTTTGTGTGTTCTTAGCTGCCATCTACTTGAAGAATATGGTGAGTCAGTACTGGCAGGACAGGGAGCCATCTGTGGGAGAGGTGGTTTTTCCTTTCAACATTCATGAGAATGATCGACAGCAGATCCGAGACCACATAGTGGAGGGTATCATCCGTTGTCCAGAGTCTATACGGTACACATACACACACACACAACATCCCTGTTACACTAAGTGCCTTCATAGTCCATACCATGACTTTAACCAGTACCAGTTCTATCTCTGTCTTTAGCCAGGATTTGAGAAATTGAGTTCTGCCTCAATATATAACACATATAGACAATGTGCAGGAGGCCAACATTTCACATTTTGGTCCATTTGAGGATGGCAAAGTCTATCCATATTGTTTGAAAAGACACATGTCTCTAGATAATATAGTTACTATTGTTTGTCTGCTATTCACTTACTACCACATTTCTTTTAACCTAGCAGTAACACAAGAGGAATTAACAACTGTAATACTTAACGCACTCTAAAGCCGTTTTCACACTACAAAGAACGGAACGGAACTGAACGGCACGGCACTGGTTCAAAGTAGGGCTGGCCGTGCTTGCATTAGAACTTCCAACCCGGTTTCACCCGGCTCCTTGGAACCACAAGAGCTGTGGTTCCAGTCGGACCGGCCAAGCGGGGCTGCTTAGAATCAGCAGCTGATTGGTTTAGAGTCAGTCGGTTGTTTTGCAGTCAGACGTTGATCGGTTCTAGCTGGTTCTCACTAAACTGTTCTTACTGTATTTTGTAAAGAGTGCTCTTTTTAATATTTTTATTATTACTTTTAATTTGCGATGAATTCCTCTCAATATTCTGCTGTTACCTGGTCCCATGATGAGATAATTTTTTTCCCTCCGCTTACTCGCTGATGAACAAGTACAGAACGAACTAGATCGGTCAACGAGGAATGAGAGTTTTCCGCCGCATCTTTGAGGAAAAGGCTTCGAAACCATTGTTTAGTTTCAAAAATAATGACGTAAAGTACAGCTTCGACGCCGCCCTCAGTTATATGCAAACACAACAGGGCTGCAGTACGGGTGGAACCAGACCGAAGCGTGCCGTACGGTGCCGTTCCGTTCCATTCCTTGCAGTGTGAAAACGGCTTTAAGGCAGTGGTCTTAAACTGCATTCCTCAAGGGCCAGATAAAGTTAAATAAAAACAAATGAATGCAAGTATATAAGTTTAGAATTTTAAAAGTCAATGAATTTGTATGGCCAGTTATTTCAGTTTAGAATTTTCAATAGTCCCTTAGGATCTTCAGCATGACTATCACTTGCACTCTATTTAATGCTGTAGTATGTAATGTTTATAAAAACAATATATTTTTTTACTCATTTGTTAAAAGTATCACTATTTCCTGGCAGTATAAGACAGATAATCTATGAAATAAATTGAGCTCCTCTGCCTTCTCCCTGTGGACCTGCTGTCATCTAAACAAATACATTGCTCTGTCAGACACAACCAATCCCGTGCCTTTGCTCTCTGCTTTGCTACACCTCAATGGAGCCTACCATGAATGCTCAGGCCAGTTAGCATGTTCTCCGATGACAGCAGAAAAATGGTTTTCTTGGAACATTCAGTTTTTTCTCCACCGCTAGCATATTTAGAAGCACAAACATGAAGTTGATTGGCAGTACCCCCCTTCTAACTATAGTTGTTTTTGACTGGCAGCAGTGCAATTCTTCAGATTCCCGAGATGTTCCTTGTGTAATCTCATGGGAAAGTCGAAAGAAGTCAGCCAACATATCAGGACGAGAATTGTGGACTTGCACAAGTCTGGCTTGTATTTTTGTGCAATTTCTGGATGCCTGAAGGTGCCTCGTTCATCTGTACAAACAATTATTGCAAGTACAAACAAGATGGTATGGTTCTGGTGGGTTGGTCTCTCTAATACTGTACCCAGTTCAGCTCATAGGGAATCTAAATCGGCTTATAAACAGTCATCAGCATAGGTTAGGGATCACCTTGGTGCTCCCTGAAAACGTGTTCCCTCCTGAATCTCCCACTCAAAAAGACCACCAGCAGCGCCAGTGCATGCATTGCACAGCATTTAGATATTTACAGCAACCAGTGTGAATACTTCACACCTTGTCACAATTGTGTAGGATTCATACTAAAATTTAGATTTGTAAAACTGAAAGAAATAAAACTATTGTAGGTCTCATCCTGGTGGTCATTGGGGAGAAGAATGACCTTGCAAAGATGATGGATGGATGGGTGGATGGATGAATTGAATCGTACTGAATTGAATCTGACTAGAGTACTGTTTCTGCTGTATACGTAATCTGATTTGGGCCTCTATCACAGACTAAATAGGACATCTTAGTTACCTCTTTGGGATTAATAATGTCCTTTTCTTTTCCTTTTCTCTATACTCCCAAAGAGCCCAGCTGACCATGTGTCTGAGAGCCATCATTAAGCACGACTTCCCAGGACGCTGGACCGCCATCGTAGACAAGCTCAGCATGTACCTGCAGTCTCAGAACAGCGGCACCTGGTACGGGAGTCTGCTGGCTCTTTACCAGCTTGTCAAAACATACGAGTGAGTAACCTGATTAAATCAGTCAGTTTCCCCTAAACCCAGATCTCTTAAGGACAGCATACGTCATTGGGGACTACAACATAGATCATTAGTACTTTGGGAATCTCAAAAATTCCCAGAGTGCTCTCTGAGAGCTTCTATCTTGGCCTAATAATCTCTCCAGGAATCTCTGGTCTCAGAGTGATTCATTCAATTGCTAAGAGCAACTCTGAGCAAGGAGATGACAGAAATGTCCATCTTAGTGAGAAGGTGTGGTTGACCCCGTTGCTGTGTGTGATGCTGTCTTCTATAGACTGGGATTTCTTCTTGTTCTTCTTATTCTTCTTCTTGTTCTTCTTATTCTTCTTCTTTTCCTTCTTCTATTACTACTTGTCTAAAAGTGGTTGGCAAACAACTAAATGCTGAATGGAGCATTATCACCACCAGCTAGAAGGGTGGACCAAATACTCCACCCCTTTCACCCTTCACACAGCATCAACATGTTTGATCATACTTTATTTACTTCATCAATATTTACATTTGTTGTGGGTTCTCGCATCTGGAAATTTTACTGTGTCATCTATTTGAAATCAATGTGGATGCTCGGCTGTCAATTGATTGCGATTGTCAGGTATTTATATTGGTCAGCTTGGACACAAAGTTACAAAGCATACTCATGTTGAGATCAATTTTAATACTATTTCAGTTTAACCAATTTCAAAGATTATTTTGACATTAGCTGATATCTATTTGGTAATGGGAGTACAGGAGCTGGTCTGTGGAACCTTGAAGGTGTGAACAAATTGCGCCAACAGGTCATGAGCCAATTAGTGTACATGGTTAGAAATGTTGATCAGATCATTTCCATAGTCAAAATGTAGTTCAGTTTAAAATTTGAACATTAATCTAACATTGACTTTTCATTACAATGTCCAGTCATTCCTTCATTTAGTATTCAGCAATAATGTCCATTGAGGATTCAATTCAATGTGAGCCCATGCATGGCACTAGTGAGTAATAAACTATGTAAGACCTGTGATAAAG